AAGATCTAAAAGTAGTGGGAAATTCTTTGTATTTCCAAACAGTCAAATTTCTTTCCTCAACAATAATAAAAGTAAAGCGGGAATTCCAACTAAACGAAAAATTTTTCTAAAAAAAATGAACTTCTAAACAAGAATGAAGTCACAGGTGATACGCGCTATTCTCTCCAAACCACCTGCACTTGGTCTGTGCGAAAGCGCTGCGTGGTAGTGCACTGTTCCATGGGAATGACCATTTTCGCCTGGGCCATATGGCAGCCGACAAGAGCAATCATCGCACCGTTGTCGATACAAAACCGTTCATCCGTTGCAAACAATTTTGCGTCCCTGCAAAACACTTCTATTCAAATTTCGTGAGAACCTCTGAGCACTAAAAACAAAAATTCACTAAATTATTTTACCGTTAAAAAACCGGAGCGCTAGATGAATTAAGCTTTCACTATACTTGTGAATGCTGAAAATACTGCATGCTTATTTCTAATATTTTGGTTCATCACCGCATTTTAAGAAATGCTCCAATGAAACTGAACAAGCGTGAGATTGGAAGCGCAGTATCAATCAAATCCGAAAAGGAAGCAGGTCAAGTTTGCGATAATTCCGCCTTGGTCTGGCAAAATACGCATCAGTTGGCAAATGCGTAAATGTGTATGACGTATCTTAAGGCACAAGCCTTATGAAGATTTATACACGAGCTAAAGTTTATTAAATTATGAATGACTTATTCACCGCTCGTGAGCCATAATTGACATCATCGACTGAAGTCGCTTATTGGAACCAACACCACCGACGATCAAAACTTCCTTGCTCTCGCAATGCGCCATTGCCCTCTCCGTGATTTCAGTCAACATTGCAAATACGGTCTCCTAAAGTGCAGCACAAAAGATAACAAAAACTAACACCTGAACAATAATAAAGGAGTTGTATGGTGGAGAGAGAGAGAAAAGAGGAATTGGACTCAACATGGCATGAGTTTGCTGGAAAATCACAGCAACTTTGCTAATTTTTTGTGCATTATTATCAGGACTATCAAAGTATTGGTAATATAAATTTGACTTAGAGAATACTGCACCAACCTGCAGAGAGAAGCAGAGATCTGCTTTCGTGCATTTCCCTTCTTGAATCAGCTGCAGGCCTTTATGTTCAATATACGAAAGTATGCCGGAGAGTGATATATCCATACCCTTCACAGTATATGGCAAAGCGATAAGCTTCTTGCCTTCCAGAGCAAGTTGTTCGAGATTGTATGCAGGAAATGGATCATTTGGCAGTCCTAATAATCGAGCGAATCTAGGTGAAAACGCTGAGTTTTGAAATGAAACAAAACGAAGCTTCAAGAAAAGACGGATTTACTGTACTACACAGGTACACAACTAGTGAAAATTCTCATTAGTTATGATGCATTAAAAATCACCTATCCAGGCAGTTTCCAACAGCAATATCCAGCGTCTCACCAAATATTCGATATCGACGATTAGAATAACAAATTACCTAAAAAAAAACAGCACATAACAATATATGGTCATTTGAAACTGCCACGAACTAACTTAAATATTAGTATAAATTGGTCGAATGCAAACGAACCTGTGTGTTACCTCCACTGACGTAAAGCACAACCGGATTTTCGGCATTCGTAATAAGACGTCCCATTTCGATGTGGCCAACGCAATGGTTCACCGGGTAAAGTGGAAGTGACCACAAATGCGATAAAGTACGCGCCACGACAGCACCAACTTGTAGTGGAGCGCCCATTCCTGGTCCTTTCGTATAAGCGATTCCATCAATTTCTTTGTGTGGATTCTGAGAAAGTATTTGAAATGCCAATTTCTGCCAGAAATTTATTCTGTTTTTATGCATTTTTTGCGGCTATGCAATGCAAAAACACATATTGTCGAGGGGTTGTCTGTGTGTGTGTGTGTGTCTGTGTGTATGTATGTGTGTGTGTGTGTCTGTGTGTGCGTCTGTGACGAGTTTTCATCTCGAGATCCACAAAAGCTACAAGGCTGAAAATTTGGTGACTTAATCTACACATACGTACGGGTTCGTATCCTCAAAATGGGCGCTCAGGTCCGCGTGGTTCTCACGTAGGGGCACGTGAAAATTTTTTTGGTGGGGAAGCGTTTTCGGGAACGGCCCATGCTAGGAGGCTGGGACTTCACAGAGTTGCTCCTTAGCCGTGTCTAATCCAAAGATTTCAAATTCAGCCTTCACGCACCTTCAGGACTCACGTACGTACACGTCAAAGTTTAAACTGGCACCATGCCAACTCCAAATTTAAGGCGGTCAATAAACTGCAGAGAACTGCAGTTTTGCAGCGTCACTTGATGCCCACTGTTGTGTTCGTGAAAGTAAGTTACTTGTCAGCCCTTCTGCATCTCACGTACGAACACGTGTACACACGTGAAATTTGACGTAACTCCACGACCAGAGCAGCTGGTGTGCTGAAGCTTTTTGAGCGCTACCCAGGACCGTGTTTGACCAATTACAGACAAAGGAAGCACTCACGTTGCCACTCACGTACGAACAAGTGAAATTTGACGTAACC